AAAGAGAGAAGGAAAGAGAGAGGAAAGAAAGAGGTACACCTACATAATGTACAGTACATATAAGGTCAAAAATTTTACACTGATTGGGTGCATGTGTTTAATGCATGACCAATCAATCATGAATCATGATTCACTTACTGCTGAACACGGCATGCCTCACAAAGCAGTATAGCTTTACGAAGGTGGTTTCTCTCTGACTTCTCTGCAATCCTCTTGGCTAGTGTATCTGGTATAGTCAATGATTCTTTATGACAAACATACTGTAGGACACTACATATCTACAAAGAATAATAACAATAACTTAAATATAATTGGGTGAAGCCCTTACTTATGAGAACTTATGTATTTATGCATACATTTGGGGGTGTGACTAGAAGGTGTGGCCAGGAGGTGGAGCCCCTCAATGTTTTACATTCTTTCTAGTATATTAACTTTTACCATATAATTGACCAGTCAATTGGAGGTTTTTCTATACTATTGCATGAAATTATTTAGACACCTCCAAAAAACACTTATTAACTTCCTAATAATTGTCATTGTAAAACTGTTCAGTTATCAAGTTTTAACCAAGTGAAACACATTGTAAATCCCATAAAAACCTCTACCTTGGTGTATAATCTATACTTATTCATCAGATAATACATTCCTTACCTCATCTATGGTTGGAGCGGGGACCCTAACAGCCAAACACCTGCTCTTGATGGCTGGTATTAGTTTACTGGTTGAGTTACAGACTAGTATAAGACGACATGTTCCTGTGTATAGTTCCATTGTTCGTCTCAATGCATGCTGTGCATCTTTAGTGAGTCTATCAACTTCAGTCAGTACCACAACTGAACAATAAATAAAAATATATCATGACAATATTTAAGGAAGAATAGTAATATCATATTGATGCCTGGTATGTTAATAATGAATAATTTATGTGTCAATACCTATGTTAAAAATTAATAATTGTTCTAACATACATAGCACTTAGAAGTTACCATGTAATAGAAATATTGAAAAATATGTGTACTAGTGTCTGTAATAGTAATTGTAATTGAAAATAAGAGTTTCTAATTATGCATGTTCTCAAGTTGTGTGAAAACTTTAAGTTGATTCCCATCAAAATTGAATTCTTAAAAATTTTTGTTCCTGGGCCAAATTTTTGCCAAAACTGAAAAGGAGAGAATTCTCCATTTAAAAAATTTTTACTGATACATATACATGTTCTTATGTTGTATAGAAATTTTGAGCTGATTCCAATCAAAATTGCATTTTTTACGAATTTTTAAAGTTGCTCTAAATTGTGTTAAAGTCCCTGTGTACTATAGTACAGTGTAGAAGGGAACTGAGCCCTTAAATAAACAATTTTTTTACAAAATAGATATAACACAGGGATAAATAGTAGGTTAATAAATGATATAATAATAACGGAAATAAGTGATAGAAAAATAATAAAATAAAATGAATAGGTTAGGTTAGGGTAAGACGAGCTTCTGAGATAGATGGTCCCATGCCAAATTTTGCTAAAATTGAAAAGTTGAGATTTTCCGTTTTTATAATTTTTTTGTGATACATATATATGTACTTATGTAGTATAGAAAGTTTGAACTGATTCTAATCACATTTGGATT